CGCACGCACGCACGCACGCACGCACACACCAAAACTCACGCACACTCTCTCTCTCTCTCTCTCACACACACACACTACACACACTCTCTCTCTATCTATCTATCTCTCTCTCTCCTTCTCCTTCTATCTATCTATCTATCTATCTATCTATCTATCTATCTATCTATCTATCTATCTATGTATATTTATTGAAGACGAAAGTAAAAATATGTGATAATAGCAATATTTTGGCTGTATTCAGGTATTTGAGTTTTTGAATTGCACATGATGGCCAGCTCACGGACAGCTTTGACATCAAGACTGGAGTGAAAAAGGGATGCTTACTCTCACCGTTCCTCTTCATATTGGCAATCGACTGGCTGATGAAGGAAACCACCAGAGGACACAGAAATTGTATACAGTGGACACCATGGACACAGTTGGACGATCTGGATTTTGAAAAACGACTTGGCGCTTCTGTCGCACACCCAGGAACAGATGCAAGCAAAGACTTCAGTATTAAACAGCCTATCGGAGTCTGTTGGATTGAGGATCCACCCCGGAAAGTCAAAGGGCCTAAGGACAGATGCACAACGAAAGGAGCAGGTCACAATAGAAGGAAAGGCCCTAGAAAACGTTGAATCCTTCTGTTATCTTGGGAGCATAATTGACAGAGAGGGAGGAACAGGTGCTGAAATAAAGTCCCGCATTGGAAAAACACAGGCTGCTTTCATATCTTTGGATAGGATTTGGAAGACCAGAGAGATCTCACTTCGAACAAAGCTGAGGATTTTCAATTCAAACGTGAAGTCGGTCCTGTTGTATAGATGTGAGGCATGGAACGCATCACAGACTTGTATAAAGAGGATCCAGGTTTTCTTGAACAGGTGTCTAAGAAAGTTACTGAGGATCAGATGGACAGACAGTGTCACCAATGTGGAAGTGTTAAGGAAAACAAGGCAGATCCCAGTCGGAGATGAGGTAGGAAGAAGGCGGTGGCGATGGATTGGACATACTCTCAGGAAGTCAGGCAGCTGCATAACAAAGAAAGTTTAGGATTGGAACCCACAGGGCTAGAGATCAAGGGGAAGACCTCGTGGAACTTGGAGAAGAATCACAGAAATCGATGTACAGAAAAGTGGGAAGACATGGAACAACATCAAGAGGCTAGCCCAAGATAGAGGAAAGTGGAGGGTGTTTGTCCATGGCGTATACCCTGATGCAGGGTGAGAAAGGCAATGATGATGATGAATGTATGGTTCTGAGATATGGAAAACAAAAACAACAGCAACAATTCAATTAAAATTTAAAAGCTCCCAAACAAAATGCTTACAAAGAATTTAACGAAAAAATGGAATAAATGTATTGCAAATAATGAAGTGTTGTCAGACATGGTGTTGGAGACTAATTTGAAATACAAAACGAAGAAGACCAACTGGAAGCTAGAAATGCACAATAAGAGATAAAACAATTACCTAGGGCCTGGTTGTGCTGAAATTTGAGAACGTGGCCAGAGACAGGCAAGCGTGGCGTCGACAGCTCTCCGCCTTTTTATGTACCAGACGGTATAGGGAAATGGTAAGTAAGTTAGATAGATAGATATAGATAGATAGATAGATAGATAGATAGATAGATAGATAGATAGATAGATAGAGCCCTGACGGTCACCTAGACGGCCACCTGTACCAACGGACACTTTCCATTCCCCCCCTTGCGTTTTTCCTATATAATTTAACTGTGTAAAACGGGCACCTGTCCAACGCGGCCGCGGCCACCATATTTCCACACACAACCCCTATCACACAAAGCAATAACACCTGTCTTAGACGGCCACCTTAGTGACTCCTTTACGTTTTGTCATAAATCAAGCATTGGCCCCTGGCGTGCGTGAGCCGTCATAATCTAAAAACCTGTCATTGTTAGGTAGTCCCTCCAACTGATCCTGTTGCGTAGGCCCCTCTCGCTGTTGACCAATAGGTAACAAAATTAATTTTCAGCTGCTGGGGAGGGAAGCGTGTGATCCCTCATAACCCATAAGCCCCGCCCAGAACCCATACACAAATCGTAAGTGGTCACTGTTTACCCCATCTGTAACAAAGTAACAATGGACGTCAACATAAACTTGTTACAGCAGCGTCGCTCGTTTTCCGAGTGGTAGCGACACGTGTGTTTGTTTTACCATAGCACTTGATCCTCCTAGTCTGACACATTTCGTTTTATTGTCACCCGTGCACAAAATCAGCAACAAAAGGAAACCCCCCCCCCCCCCCCCCAGCGAAAACAACAACAACCACCACCAAATAACAACCACCACCATGCAACTACCTTCGGTTGGGACCCCCGAAAGTGGAAGGGTTTATTTTCTCAGAAAGGAAAGGTTAGTTTTCTTCCTCTTGATCAGGCCTGCCTAAAAAGGCCACCTGTCTTATACGACCACTTTTGTCCTTGACAATGGGTGACCGTCTTACACAGGTTCAACTGTATATATATATATATATATATCT